TGGATCAGCCAGCGCAATTGATGCTAGGCAGGCGTGGGGAGTGCCAGCCGTATGTTATCGGATCCGGACATAGAGGAACTATAAAAATATTAGTTCACGGGAATCTATTTAGTCGGCAGATCCGAGATATAATACAAGGCGACGACGACGATGGATTCGGCCTTGTCTATTGCCACAGCCGGCGCGGCCTAATTACCACAGAAAATTGTCGTGGATACTGTTTTTGATTTTTAGTTTGTTTTTTAAATATTTTATGGGAATGTTTCACTTTAGGTCCCTAAAATTAAGAAATATCTTATAAAACGAAGGAGATATTCTGAATTTTTAGACAAAAACAAAAAGCTTGAAATGAGGAAAAATGTAATTTTTCGTAAAATTTTTGTAATATTTGCTCCAATTGATTTGTGATATAGTTTTTTAAATTCTGATTTGAGTTTTTTTAATTTTCTTTTATCTGCAATAAAACTTACCTATATGTTTTTAACATACACAATTACACGTCTCGTTATATCTCCGTATATTATAAAAATTATACAGATCATACTATGAATAGTTCTGACTGACAACGAAATGCATTAGCAAGCAAGGGGGATGTCAATGTTAGTCGGGAACTATTGTGAACTAAAGACCTAGTTCAAGGAACTATTCCTCTGGAGGAACTAGAACTAAGGAACTAGTTCCTCCCAAGGAACTAAAATTCCCACCTCTACTCATAGAGAATATCGTAGAAAACTCACCCTGTATAAGTGTTAATTTTGTGTCACTATTAAACAAATCTGATTAAGGTTATCGAGTTCTTTCAGGGATATTTTAAAAATACATAATAAACTCATGATCCAAAGCAAATCCGCCTACACTGTATTTATGTTGCTAGGTTTCTTATTAATACGAAACTAAAAATATAACTCTGCGGTCTAAAATCCTTCCACAGTGTAGCCTTGAGTTTTCTTTTATCAAGTTAAAAAAGGTCATTACTAAATAATTATATTTTTCCACTTAGATCAATAAAGTATAATATAGAAAAATGCTGCATAGATAGCATCATCTTATTACTATATAGGTAAATAAGTAATAAGTGTATAAAATGTAATTAAAATTTATTGATATTTTACCTTGTTTATTTATACCTATTTACAACTAAATTTCTTTATAACATGTGTTATTTACTATGTCCTTTACCTTGTAAATAATTCCTCTTAAGATATTTAACTACCTATAATTGCGCAGTACTTTAAGATATATATTATTTTATGATATATGTACCTACATTTTTCTTTAAAGAAAATAATCTTAGATATCTAAGTAAAATATATACCATATAATCTATCCCAATCATTGCAAGGTTAATATTAATTAATTAAAAAGTAAAAAATTCAATATGCAAATAAAGTAGAAAGTTAACTCTCAAGTGGTAGAATGATAGAACTGATGAATTGTAATCCAGCGTTTCAAAAAAGCTTCAAATCATGTTTATTATTTGAAATATTTACTCCAATATATTTTCTAGAATATGCTGATAATAAAAGGGCACATATTAACATATTTCCTAAAATTGACCAAAAACTGACATTTTAAAAATGTCACAAAGAGGACTGTAGCGTTTTTTGTAAAACATTACCACTGCGAACGGCAGCTTTTCATCGGAGAGCAGTCGTGGATAAGGTATTTCACTAGAGAGAAAACTAATCAATAACAATAAACAAAAAAATATAGATATTGGGCGCCAGGCATGTACAGAGAAAGAAAACACAGTTGTATATTACTTAAAACTAATGACTATATTTATTCATGATGGGCTGTGATGGTAAATAGCATTGTACAATTTTAATAATTATTATAGTGGTTATATGTCAACGAAAGTGGTGTTAAGAATTGTACTAAATATATATGAAAATGAAAACAACTATGATAAAATACAAGACATGTAAAGTTTAAGAGAATATATGAAATGTAGCATTACTTTAATTAATTTGATATATTTTATATGATGTTAGTGCAATAATAATATCTATAAAAAAGTAATACTATTACAAGGCGTAATGTAATGAAACCTAAAATCCAAATCATATTGTAACTACTAAATCGACATAAATGTTCTTAATAATCTAACCACTAAATATAGTCTGTACGATATCGTTTAAAATGTACGTTAAGTTAAGACTGAAAATCGACTGAAAACCAGAACCTAAATCTACACTTAGCTGGTTTTTTTTAGGCAATCCTGTTTCGAAGAGTAGCAGCGTGAGGTGGGCTCATATCTCTGTACTGTCTGTCGGCGATCCTGTTAGCCAAAACAACAAAAGGGGCCAGAATGAGGACACCATGAATCAATACAGCCGTAGCTACTGACTAGGATTAGAAATGGGAGCGAAGCAGCATGGGGCTTACGCTGTATCCATACTGTGGTAATATGGGGACACTAACCGTACCTTGGAACACTACTAGGAACTTGGATAATGTCCGTAACTTGGACCATAACCTTGGACACAGTCCGTCCATAAGACCCTAAAAATACCAAACTCTTGTTTAAAATCAAACAAGGTCTAATAAACAAAATGAACCTACCTCGAATTACTTCCGAGGGCTCACTAAATAATGAGAAGAACCTGTCCTTTCTTCCATGTGACATTCTGGGGGACAAAAGAAAAGGGCCGCCAACGTGCCAGCAAAATACAAATACAAGTTAGGTTGGGGCATCCGTAACTCTACCCTAAAAATACGCAGTTATAATAACGAATCAAAAAAGATAATATCTCATCTTTACCTGTTGCTTCGAAATGGCAGCTGATTCAGATTTTGCAGCAAGATTTAAATTATTACCATTTCTAAAAGCCGGGCGAACAAAAGTGAGGTTAAGCGCGGAGAGCGACCTAACCTTGGAGCGATGTTGACAGCGCCTCCACAGAGCAGTGAAACGATAACAGGGTTGGCGACTAGGGAACGTAAAAATTACGCCAAGCGTGCCAAATAAATTATCAGGCCTGAACGATACGAAATCCGATGGCGATACGCCAGACATCAAATAAATCATATATAAAAAATACATGTAACGAACTAAAAACGTTACAGGACAGTGAATAATCTAGCGCACTTCAAGGGAAAATTTGGGATTTGGGGCCTCAGACCACAAATGGTGCACTGGCTGAACACTGGAGTTGTGAGGCCTTCAATAACATATGCATCCTTGATAAGGTAGCCTAAGCTAATGCAACAAACAAAAATGCTTAGCCTCATCAAGGCGCAAACACTTGCTTTTCTGAGCATAACGCAGAGGCAATGAAATCAACGCCCAGTGCATCAAAAAGGTGGAAGGTTCAGAATCTTCCGCCCTCACATAGTGATCCAGGCGGAGGCAAGAATGGGGCGCTATCGTCAATGAAGTGTTCACAATGTGTGTGTGTGTCTCTGGGAAATAGGCCACAAACAGGACAGTTAAAGATAAAGGATTCTTCCAAATGAGATCGGACCAAATTATTCCTCTTTATCACTACCTACAACAAACCATTCGAGCTGAATAAAATGGACCGAGGAATGTGGACAGATACAACATTCCTTCAAAACAAATTAACCTGGTATGCAGACGGGTCAAAGACAGAAGATTTGGGGAAAGACCAAGGGCAAGCTATCCTTTTCCTTGAGTAGATACTGAACCGTATTCCAGGTAGAAATTTTTGATATTCTACAATACGCGAGAGAAAATAAAAGAGATGACTCAGGTAAGCTCATCAATTACTGTCGTCCATTCACGCAGTTGTGCAGCTCTGACCTGTTCAAGAACGCGATACTCTCACTCCATTCAATTGAGTCATAAAGTTCAGAACTGTTCCGCGCCATATGGAGGCGCCAGGCTATCCTTTCAGAACCGTTCTCGAGTAGCCCAGGGCGTAAAGCTCTGGAACTTGAAATTCGCGAATGGAGGACAGGAATTATATGCTCAGACAGTCAGGCGGCATTTGGGGCGCTTATGAGTTCAAAGGTATCGTCGAGACTCGTCTGGGAATGCTCCCTAGGTGAACTGGCAGCTCTAGCGCGAAGGAACAGAATTAAATTATTCTGGTGCTGGCATCCAAGGCAACAAAAAGCCGATGAGCTAGCTAGGCAAGGATCATCGGCATCCTATTTTGGTCCAGAGCCAGTACTGGGAATACTGGACTAAGATAGGATGGTCCAGCATAATGTCCACTGGAGAAACAGACGGGGCACAGGCACATCAAGGCCTTTATCCAAGAACCTAGCTCTAAAACCACAAAAGAACTGCTAATGCTTAGCAGGAATAAAGTGCCGATTACAACAGGCTTCTTGACAGGACACATGGCTGTCAAGTGTTACCTGAACAAGCTCAACCTGTATCAAGGGAGTCTTTGCAGCAGACTCTGCGATAAAGATCCTGAAACAGCAGAGTACATAATATGTCACTGCGAGACTCTGGATCGCAAGCAACACATTTATTTGGGAAAGCTAGGCTAGAACCGGAGAAACTATGCTCCCATCCTATCAAGGACCTGCATAAGTTAGTGCAGGGTAGAGGGATAGGAGAATGGGTGCAGATATAGAAAGGGGACAAACCAAATAGGCCTCACAGGTTGCAGTGTTTCCGGCAGAGGACGGCCCATTTGAAAAAAAAGATCTACAAGGGGATTTTTTTCTAGATAGGCGCACCCGGTATAAAATTTATTACGAATTATTTTTTATTTTTATTTTTTTATATTGATGAAGCATCTTAGACCCTAGACCCTTAAATGTTCGAGTTAAAGAACATAAAGATTTATTTGACTTGACTTTAATTGATTTTAATATCCCCATTACTTAGGAAATAATTTATTAAAAAAAGGATGATATCCATATTAGGGTTAACAATCTCGGAACTATCTGAGAATTTGAGAACTCTTACTCCTAGAACTTCCTACTTATATATTATTTAACGTACATTGAGTTTATTATTAACAATAATATTAATAACATTAGAAAATTCTATATTTTAGTTATTTTAGTTGACATACCATTTTGTGAGGTCTTCTCGTTATCTTTGTAAAGTTCATTTTTGGCATTTATAGGTGCTTTTTCTCTAGCGTTCAGAAAATAGGCCTTTTTCTCATCTCTTTTGTAGATGGTCATCAAGAATCCTCCTCCTAATCCCATACTCTGCATGGTAACCACCCCATTGCAAAATAACGTTGCTATGGCCGCATCTACAGCTGTTCCATTTTTTTCCAAGATATCTCTGAAACAAATTAAAAATTAACTAATATTAATAATAAATAATCAGGGATATCAATTAAACTTTTTGCGATTTTTGTTGGCAACCATGGATATATTCGGCGCCGGTCTGATTAACTGGAATTTAAATTTTCCGCTGTAAAAAATGTCAAGTTGCCACATTTGTTTATTTATTTTCTGTCTTGTTTTGACAATTTAGTTTTTTATTACGAGTTATTGGTTTAAATTAATTGTATTGTGATACTTTAAGCTTATAAAATTTTGTACTAGCAGACCTTTCAGTCAACATTGTTCTGAAATCAGTCAATTAGAACCTCTTTTAGTGCGAAGTGTACAAGATAGCTTAATAGCCGTTGCAAAAAACTCATCGCTGCCTTATTAGAATATTTTGAACATGAAAGCGGTAGTAATATTCCTTTATATCCGTTAAGTGCTGTTAAAAAGGTGAGTTTTATTGATGTAAATAATAACTGTTTTTAGATGTTTATAATTAATTTATTTTTGTTTCTTAAAATATTTTGATTAAAAAAAAATATGTAAAAGTGGGCAACGCTGTGCCGGTCAAGCTTAATCACGTGAAAAAAGCTTATTTGGTGTGATCTACATATATTTATAAATTACATTATACCGGATGTCTCAGTAACTCTGTTTTAATGAAATATCTGAGCAACAAAAAAAATATATTTTTAAGGGTAGCAAAGATACCAAACGAAAAAAAAAATTCGGCATGGAGTTGACATGGAAATGAAGATCGCTTCCATTTTGTACGAAAAATTATTTCTAATTTCTTCTACTCTTACGTCATTTGATTAAGTAGGACATTTCGAAATTGAGAAATCGCAAACGTCTTTTTTTTTCATTGCAGCATTATGGTAGACACAAGTCAGAGTTTACTCAAGTTTAATCAAAAGCGATTATAATTTTTTTTAATAGTGTCTTTTTACGTATTTTGGAAAATTAGACTACCTTACTTTTGAGATATTATTATATTTTTTAAGGCTCTCCTCTATACAGGGTGAGTTTCCTACGATGTTCTCTATGGGTATTTCGGAAACTACTGGAGATAGAGAGTCAGTTAAATGGGGAAAGAACTGCAGTTTTATGGGGTCATAAATATGCGCCTTTCAGATTTTTGAAAAAGTTCATGGTTTACTAGATATTTCGAAAAAAACAAATTTTGGCTATTTCAAAAATTGTCCCTAATTCCATTATAATCTATTTTAGACAAAAAGTTTTCAGATAAAAGTTGTAGATAATCACATCCCTAATGAGATTCTGTTCACCAATTTTTTCTAAAGCCTGTCATTTTTGACATATGACACAAACATATGTTTTTTTAAATGGAAACCATAGTTGGCCATGACTTCACAAAAAGCGCCATTTTTTAAGCTTTTCAGCGATATAAATTATAATATGTTTCTTTCACAAAATTACTGAGTTATAGCCAATTCTTATCTTTCTTGACTAATTTCACTTAGTTAGCCATGGAAATAAGTTCAATCATCGTTGCTCTCATAAATATGAAATTGTCACATTCAATCTTTGTAAATTAAAATAAACAAAATTGTAAATAAGTTTTTTCAAATGAAGAAAAGCGTGTAGGATTATTGGTTCAACTTTTCTTGGCCATACAGTTTCGAGGATACGTTGACCGTTGACCGGTGAACGTTACTTACGTTTTTTAGAGAAAGGTTTTCAAGACATGTTAGAAAAGGTAAATTTATTAATACTCGCGCATTAATAGAGTGGTTCCAACATGACTTTCATTATGACACACCAACCCCCTCCCCCCCCACACACAATGAAAGAAATGTTAAAAAATATTTATATCATAATTATGTAGACTCAGGGATAGAAAGAGGTGGACCAATTGCATGGCTCTCCTCGGACCTATTCATTTTAGATTTTTTTATGCGGTATTGTTAACAACAAGGTTTACAAAAGAACTTATGAATTGAGAGAGGCACTCGAAGAGATGGAACAGGAGAAATTTAATTAAGTCGACCGGTCGTTCTGTGAGAATAGCTAGAAATTCAGTTTTAAAAAGATAAATTTATGTACTCAAAACAATTGCGGATTTTTTGAAAATTTTCTAAAATAACTTATAGTGATATTATTTTTTTAAGTTTTAGTTTGTGTAATGCAAATTGTAAAGAGCCGTTTAATAATATATTTTGTCTTTTTATAAGTAATAAATCATAACAAAATTACAACACCATTGAAAACTTGTTTCCATGGCTAACTAAGTGAAATTAGCCAAGAAAGATAAGAATTGGCTATAATTCAGTAATTTTGTGAAAGAAACATATTATAGCTTATATCGCTGAAAAGATTTAAAAATGGCGCTTTTTATGAAGTCGTGGCGGTTTCCATTAAAAAAATCATATGTTTGTGTCATAAGTCAAAAATGACAGGCTTTAGAAAAAATCGGAGAACACAAACTCATTAGGAATGTGATTTTGTACAACTTTTATCTGAACACTTTTTGTCTAAAATAGATTATAATAGAATTAGGGACAATTTTTAAAATAGCCAAAATTTGTTTTTTTCGAAATATCTAGTAAGCCATGAACTTCTTCAAAAATCTGAAAGGCGCATATTTATGACCCCACAAAACTGCAATTCTTTCCCCATTTAACCGACTCTCTACCTCCAGTAGTTTCCGAGATACCCATAGAGAACATCGTAGGAAACTCACCCTGTATAATACATCATACTAGAATTTTGACTGGTATATTTGTAGTTTGAGAGATGAATAGCAAAGATTTGATAGAAAGAGACCTTTATAAGAAATAGAAGTTATGAAATACTTCAAAAACTTTTTACTACAGGGTTTGTCAACGATTGAGTAAGAATGATTATCTTACTGGTTTTAAGAATTGCGATAATTGTTAAATAAAATATTTTATATTTATTCAGTTAATTTTTTTTCAGTAATATACAGGGTGCTTAAAAAAATGTGGCGGACATAACATAAATATGTGTTTAAACGAAACATATCTACTACATACGGTCCTGGACACTTTATCTCCGTAAATATAAATGAGTTATAGCACAGGTTATAGTTTCGGAGACCTTTTTTATTTATTATTTAATAAATTATAGGGTGGAGGAGTATGTAAATAAAAATGTTGTTATTTTTTTTAATTATTACCTATAAAAATTGAGATATGAATAAGAAACATGAAAAAAAGTAAGACCGCAAGTAACTTGCATGCTGGGTTTTGGACTTGGACTCTTGCAGATCTAAAGCTAATCTTGTTTAATTGGTCTTCCTTTTTGTGGAAGATCAAGACCAAGATTAGTCTCACTCATCATTATCATTATTAATGAGAAACTTTTGTGCTGACATAGCAACTATAGTAATATGTACAGGATGGCTCGAATTCGACGCTCGTCATTGGAATTTCGGAAACCGTAAGAGATACAGGATCGGTTAAATAGAGGCAAAGTTGCGCAATTTGATGCTCAATAAAATGCTGTATTGCATCTTGAAAAATTCCGAATACTTCCGAATATATTCGAAAAAAAGAACCCGAATTTTCAATTTTGTTTTCTATTGTTTCTTGGCTTTATTTTTTAAGATAACTTGAAAATGAAAAACACATTTCATGGCCCACTTTTTCTGCTTTATAATTCTGTGTGATTAAATATTGACTCTGACGTTTCGGCTTCTGGCGACCATAATCAACTTATTTTTTTTAAATACGGACCTGATTTTTTTTCAATTTAATTAAATCCTTTCATCACTCTTAAAACACTATATATATAGTCATTTTGATATTTGCCGACGTTTCGTACAAAAAATTCCATCACCAGAATAGTTTATGCAAAAAAAAATAAAAATGCAATAAGTACGGCATTTTATTGAGCATCAAATTGCGCAACTTTGCCTCCATTTAACCGATCCTGTATCTCTTACGGTTTCCGAAATCCCAATGATGAGCTTCGAATTCGAGCCACCCTGTACACAAAGCGCGAGATTTTAAAAGGGTTAATTTTGAAAAATTCGGAAAAATAGCCAAAATGTTAGATAAGTAGATATATGATGGATATATGGCATACTACTAGCTATGTATAATATACTCTGTGCTACCAGGGTGGCACCAAAAAAAATATATAATTTTTTTCATGATGGTAAAAAACAAATTCTGGTAATGTTAGAGATCTTAATTTTAATATTAAAGGGTCTCTCATCCTGATTTTCTATTCCATTTAAATACCACAGAGAAATTTCTTTTTTTTTTGGAATTTTCTTGCGTTCTAACAATCAGTGTATTCTAAAAATCAGTACATATTCTTATAGCAAATTGAACGTTCTTCAAAAAAGGTCTGATATGATTTTTCATTTAATCGATTCGTTTGAAAGTTATTGAATGTTCATTCAACTTCAAATCGTATATGATAACTTAATTTTTTATATTTTATTTACGATAACGAAATATACAGGGTTGTTCACCACATACGACACGGAGTATTGTAGCTAAACGATTAGATTTTTACAAATTGTAAGTTTTGGGTTCGTTGAAGGACTATTAGAGCTACAATTTAAAAATAATTTTACATGATACAGAGTGTCCCTAATAAGTAAAAAAATATCAAAGTTGTATTTTTTTAAATGGAACACCCTGTATATTATTACATTTTTAGTTTCTACGATTAAAATGAAGGTAAATTTGATTAAGATTTATTATACTTCAACCTTACCGTTTTTGAAATATTTTCAATTTTGTGAAATTGCAGTAAAAATTTTAAGGCTTCATTTCTCCAAGGGTATCAAAGTTTTTAATACTAAATATTTACTGAAGTTTATTTACTGATCAGTTATTGTGTTGCAATAATAAAAATAATACTACCTTATACAGAGTGTCTAAAAATTTATTTTAAATAATTATTAGCTTCAAAAGGCAATAACTTGTTTAATTTAAATGGAACACCCTGTATATTTTAAGAGAATCAGATGCACAATTTAATTGTCTATCAAATTATATTATATCATTTTTT